TATGGTGTGGTATGGTATGGTATGGTATGGTATGGTATGGTGTGGTGTGGTGTGGTGTGGTGTGGTATGGTGTAGTATGGTGGTATGGTATGGTGGGGTGTGGTGTGGTGTGGTATGGTATGGTGTATGGTATGGTATATGGTGTGGTGTGGTGTGGTGTGGTGTGGTGTGGTGTGGTGTGGTGTGTGTGGTGTGGTGTGGTGTGTGGTGTGGTGTGGTGTGGTATATGGTGTACTGTATGGTATATGGTGTATGGTATGGTATGATATGGTATGGTATGGTATGGTATGGTATGGTATGGACTTGGGCGATTACATCGCTATTTACGCCCAATACATCAAGCGGATATTTGGTTGCGTTCTCCCCCTTTGTCAGAATCGGTGCTCCATTGCTGTATGCAGTGTGGCGTCATGGTGGCAGAGCGGGATACTAAAAGTGTTCCACTGGGAACTATCAAATCTGTGTAATTGTCCCGTTGATCTGCATACACTACTCCACACCACTGACAGACTAAGCTCCAGTACCAATGCAGGTGAAAGAACAGACCGATCTGGAGACTGAGGCTTGCTCATTATCGACTAACCACGTATGTAGTCTCGTTAACTGACAAAAGGAAAGATAAGGCTCTCTTTCTTATTCCTCAAGAAGTATGATTAATCCAAGATTGGCAAATTATCAATCTGTCCTCACTGGGAAAGAAAAGGCGTTAATGCAGTTTCTCTCCTTAAGGCGAATTTACAAAGACCGTTTTCCGTTACAGACTATCCTTTCTTTCCAGCATATTGCAGTGCCTAGGGAATCCATAGTGACAAGAACCATGGAACATATGACACCCCTTACTGACCGTGTGACAGTTTGTCTTTGTCAGGATTCTGTGACAGGAGGAAGCATAATCTGCTGTTCAAATCAGACTAGAAAAATTTCCAGATTCAGCAGATTTCTTTGTATTACTGCATACAATATGTAAACAAATATATCGGAGTATATGAAATGTAAACCTAATGATTGTATACTCATGCCAATAATGGTTGTCACCCCTTCAATTTTTAATTGGAGAGGGGTGTTAGGTGTGAAGGGTGTGAGTGTGTGTGTGGGGAGGGAGGTCACACCCATTATTGGCATGAGTATATTAAAAGATGAAAACATGTGTTCCTATGCTAATATGTAAACCGTTCTAATATATCTATTACTATAAATATCACGTAAATTTATTTACTATTATAATTATTATGTAAACATATGAATTGGTAAATAATATGTAAATAAATGTACTATATACAAACCTACAATACGTATTATCTATGTATTACTATGTAATCAGTGAAAACCTGTGGAAAACCTCATTATTTGCATTAAATGTGAATTACTGACCGTATCTTGATTACAAATTTATATTTCGCTATGTACACGTATTATCATCCCTGTTAACCTATTCTATACATAAATTGTAAACTCTATTTCCATGACGGTGTCATTGTAAATCCACACACTTACTCGATGACCAGTTACCTTTGTTTCAAATCAGTCTGAACAATCAACACGAGATCGGCAACGAGATCGGCAACTGCAGCATCTTATCTGAAGATGGTAGAACAACACATCTGAAGATGGTAGAACAATCACATCTTATCTGAAGATGGTAGAACAATCACATCTTATCTGAAGATGGTAGAACAATCACATCTTATCTGAAGATGGTAGAACAATCACATCTTATCTGAAGATGGTAGAACAATCACATCTTATCTGAAGATGGTAGAACAATCACATCTTATCTGAAGATGGTAGAACAATCACATCTTATCTGAAGATGGTAGAACAATCACATCTTATCTGAAGATGGTAGAACAATCACATCTGATTAACAGATGGCGGGACGAACCACATCTGATTAGAAGATGGCGGAACGAATCACATCTGATCAGAAGATGATTGAACGAATCACATCTGATCAGTAGAAGCGGATCATATCACATCATCTCGGTAGACTAGATCCGTCCATCCGTCTTACCTAAGAGATCAAAAGGCTCTGTTATAGTGAAGCGTGACCTGATACGTTCATCCATCTTATATGTACCTGATCAAAAGTCTCTGTTATAGTGAAGTGTGACCTGAAGTGTCTATCCATCTTATATGTACCTGATGAAAAGTCTCTGTTATAGTGAAGTGTGACCTGATACGTTCATCCATCTTATATGTACCTGATCAAAAGTCTCTGTTATAGTGAAGCGTGACCTGATGTGTCTATCCATCTTATATGTACCTGATGAAAAGTCTCTGTTATAGTGAAGTGTGACCTGATACGTTCATCCATCTTATATGTACCTGATCAAAAGTCTCTGTTATAGTGAAGCGTGACCTGATGTGTCTATCCATCTTATATGTACCTGATCAAAAGTCTCTGTTATAGTGAAGCGTGACCTGATGTGTCTATCCATCTTATATGTACCTGATCAAAAGTCTCTGTCATAGTGAAGCGTGACCTGATGTGTCTATCCATCTTATATGTACCTGATCAAAAGTCTCTGTTATAGTGAAGCGTGACCTGATGTGTCTATCCAACTTATATGTACCTGATGAAAAGTCTCTGTTACAGTGAAGCGTGACCTGATGTGTCTATCCATCTTATATGTACCTGATGAAAAGTCTGTGTTATAGTGAAGCGTGACCTGATGTGTCTATCCATCTTATATGTACCTGATCAATAGGCTCGTGCCCGAGACATACGACAGTCGTAAGACTGAGGTTGTTTTGTATAACGACACCGTACCCGATTGGCTGTGTCTCTGGAATTAGACGAGGTTTACCGATATGTTATCATTAGGACAGAGAACAGATTCGAACCCAGGACCAACTGCATCCTTGAATCCGTGTGAATCCTGGCAGGAAGGTACCCATTGAATCGCACAAACTAACGAATGTCCGCTAAACGATCCAAAGGCAGTCAGTGAACATCCACGTTCCAGAAGTAAAGCCTGAGAAGTTGGATTAATTTTATCAACAGGATCCGAGCTGAGGAATTTTCACTGTATGTAGTCCTTATGGTTAAAATGTACAAGCAGCGTTTCACCTGTATCGGCTTTTACATTGATACACATCTGATTTCGGTTTTTGCACGAAAAAGGAAATATCGACTTTGTTTCGTGAGCACAAATCTACGATGTAGAATATTACCTTGAACCGCCCTTTCTATCGGGTACATTTACGTGACTTCATGTTCGACCGAACAAAGTGAGAAGAGTTATCTCCCTTATACTGTTACTTGCACTTAAACGTTTTCCCCATGTCTTGGTTGTGAAAATTTAATTTAATTTTGTATCATTAAACCGTTTACCCTGCCTAATGGAGAGCATCAAAATGTTTGGAGCTCTTGTTAAACATTCAATCTTAACCGGTTATTTAGCAAGAATGGGTTTTTAGCAACTACTAAATTCCGCAAAGTCGAAGTTTCCTTTTTATCATAATTGTTCGTTGTATTTACTTTGACAAAGGTATATTTTCTGAATAGTATTTAAACGTACTTGTAATTTCACCCACTGATAAAATTCATTAACAACTTGGGCTTACCTGAAATTTCCTCAAGTATCGCTGTCAGTTTGATCACCCATCGACAAGGTTAGGTGTACAATATGTACTTTACATAGCGCTTATCAAGGCGTGCATAACAGTACAATGTATGTTTACTCTATCATATCATGTATGTAAGAGTATCCATGAGAAGGTTTGGCTTTTGAACAATTGTTAACTGATCAATGAACACCTAGGTGTCAACAAATATTTTACGAGCGCTTAGCTCAATTACACACAAGCTGATAACGGGCACTTGACATGAAACATCGGTCAGTCCATGTTTGTCTGTCCATATATGACACTCAGTAATATGGCCTAGTTCATTCCTATATATTCCTCAGAAAGTAATAGTTATAGCTATACTGTCTTATGTCACCGTCATTTGTTGGTAGGTTGTTGTCTTTTTGTTTAACACTGCACTCATCAATATCAACTATAATCCAAGTGGCCAGCCAATAATCGTGTCTGGACTAGACAATCCAGTGATTGACATCATTCACATCGATCTACGTAACTGGGATACGGTGACATACATCAATCACCTGTTGCGACAAGCATGGATCCAACTCGGATCTCTACGGGTGCCTGTTAATATTGAACTTTCTACCAATGCAGGGACACAAACAATTGTAGCTGAATTCGACACAGTAGTTACACACTTAACTGCACATTTTTACATTGGACTCCTTTTCAAAGCTGAACAAAGATTTCACCTCTACCTAACGTCGATGGCGTCTCAACGAAACACTGCATTCAGAAGTAGAGCTCAAAGTACATGAACCTGTTTAGAAACACCATAGAGCCCATGGAGGTCGTCCATGGAGTGATCGGTGGCGTGTGTTTGGTTGAACATTTTGTGCACCCTAACACCCAGATTTCCGTCAGTCACAGATCAGTTGTTAGTAGTGGCTTATATCATACAGCCCGTTGTCCTGGTGACCAAGAGCAGACCCACATAGAACGGTTCAGCAGTTTCTGCAAGACAGATTGTCTGACCATGAAGGAAATGACGTTGAAAGACACCTATACTGGTGTGCACATCCCCCAAAACGCTGCAAGAACGTATATTGAATGCTCCTCCTGTAAATGGGCCTATTACGGTACCATCACCTGCAATACACCCGTCGAACACTATTCTCTCAAAAAAGACACGCATATAAGAAGTTTAAGTACAATTTACTCTATATTTTGATACACTGTATGGGACTTAATAGCAAACGGGAACATGGGAAAGTCCACAGTATCACTGTTTGATCAGAGCTCGAGAAAAGTCAGTTAGTGGGTCACATATGGACGTGTGGTGGCGATGAAATCAGAACCTGGTGTGCTCACTTCAGAACTTCTGACGATGTCAGAACTGCGCGACATCGTCTCGGCAAGGAACGAATTAGTCTCTGGATCTGATGTTACTGCATCGCAGTCCATCCTACCTGTAGTGCATGTGCGAGTTGCTGAAATGTCTGGTTACGCTGTCGCACCCACATGTCCAGGGCATCCCAAATATGTTCGATCGGGTTTAAGTCTTGCGATTTGGAGGGCCCAGGCAGCACATTGATGTTCTGATTCTGGAGAAAGTCTCTCGTGACCTGCTGGAACAGCTCCCTCTGACGGTTGAGAAAAGGAAGGTGTGGACGAATGATTTGATCACAGTAGCGTAGCGCTACTCACTACACCAACTCACTTCTTCCCCACATCATCACGTTTCCGCTGCCGAATCTGTTCACCTGGGAACGCAGGCGTCGGCAAACGTTCGTCAAGACGTCTGTACACCCACATTTTTTCATCGCGTCGTTCCAACAGAAATCTCGATTAATCGCTGAAACAGATTGGACGCCACTTTACCAGGATCCAGGCCTGAACATCGGTACACCATTGAGCACGATGCTGTCGATGCTGTTGACGCAGCACGGAGCAAACCTGCCTCTCGCAGTCTGTTCCTGACTGTCTGCGCAGATAATCTTCTCAATCCGGGTATTTGATTAGCCGTACTGGTCTCTGTGGCTGTTCGATGACGCAGATGATGTACTCGGTTGTACCGATCTTGCGCAGCAGTGGTAACTCGAGGTCGTCCACTTCTAGGACCGTACCTCCCACTGAGTTCTGCTGGTGATATATCTCCCAGAGACGGGACATTGTGCTCTGTAGGACGTTCATACGACGGGCAATAACTAAGCAGGGACTGTCCTGCTTCAGGAGACCTATAGCAATATGTCGATTGTCGTGGCATTTTGCATTCCCACAAAAACTCCCATATACAGTGAATAAACCAAAGACAGTGATCGATCTTTTATACCCATCAATGACACGATGTGATCCCCAAGTTTCACTTGCATTGCTAATGTTCGGTGACATTACATGCGTCTATTGAAAATCGTGCTGTTGTATACAGGTATTTCACGCGGGATGCATTTGGATATGATGTTTAAAGACAAAAACACCATAGAAATCATAAACAAAACAAACTCTCTATAACAATACACTTCTGCATCAAAATGCCATTTTCGTTATGCGTTTCTTTTTTGAGACAGTATATATGAAACTTTCTCATACCCTTCTCTTGTGTCACCTGGTGCGAAGTCGTCCATTGGTCAGTAGAAATGCTGATCAATGGTGAATCTGAAAAAAAACTTTGACTCTCCACTGATTTTGCAAATACTTTGCAGCTATTTGTGTCACAAAATATTTCACTCGTAAATCGACTTGTATCCATTCTGTTTCTCAGCAACACACAAACATCTGAATTCTGAAAATATTGGCCTATCCAGGGGTACCGCTTCAACAATAGGCCCAGACATATGCTAAATATATCTGTTTATAAGAAGTAAGAACTTTTCTACAGTGGCGTGGGGATTCTCCATGCAATCGATTTCAAGGCCCTAATGGACTTTATGGATCCAATAGTCAGGATAGATCGATTGTGCGTCGCTGTAATATGGCGGCGCCAGTCACTGGTTTATGTGGTCCAGACTGGATTATTTACATACGTCAGGTACACAACAGCGTTACACAACACACGAGAAATAATGTGCCTCTTCCTTATATCTACTTCAGCTTCCTCCTTGTGAGGTCTTTAAAACAAGCACCTTAGTACACTGCAGTTGCATTGGTCATGAAGCACGTCCTATAGCCAGTGCCCTATGACAGTGATTTAGAAATATTTCACGTCACGACTGAAATGGTCATAACAACTTTTATCTCAAGGTTTCTCGAAAGATATCGAAAGTTCATCATTGTTCTCGTAAACAAGCTTTTTAACCATGTGCCGATTGACGAAAAGCTGAGAATTGTTGTGGTATTTCAGCTTCCCTGTTTTGATCTTAGGGGATATATTTTAAATGAAACAACTCCTTAACAACAAAGTCTACAGGCGTTCAGTTTATTCTAAACTCAGTGTGCTTTTACATCGGTTCAGATTTTCGACAAATACAAATATGTAAATTTCAAAAGCTTATTCTGATATTCAAGTTATCTAAGTTATGAAGTTATCTTTCGAAAAGAGAAAAAGTTAAAAAATAATTCCCACCTTTCTCGTATTTCAGCTTCACAAATCATATTTGAAGGGGAATATTGCAAATCATATTTGAAGGGGAATATTGCAAAGAAACCTTAGTTGGTACCGTTGTCAACTTGCTAGGCCTAAAATGAGAACAAGAGCCACGGCTATTTCCCCTCAATGTGTCGCTACTGTCACTCTACGTCTTTTCACTAACAACGTCAGGTCCCGGATAGATCTTTCCAGAAGAAACAATGTATTCCGTCAAATCCCAGATAGCACTTCCCAGAAGAACAATATCTCCATCAGGTTCCACATAGCTCTTCCCAGAAGTTACAAGGTCCTGTGTGAGGTCCCGGATAGATCTTCCCAAAAGAAACAATATTATTCCGTCAAATCCCAGACAGCACTTCCCAGCAGATACAAGGTCTTCCGTC